ACATGGAAACTGAACAACATAAAAGCCATTCACAGAGAGACTTATACAGCAGCTTCTGTAGAGTTCAGAAGAGCCTATTACAGAGTGAAACACTTGCAATCCAATAGCTCCACCTTAGCCAGAGTACAGGTTTGCCTCCACTACATGGCGGATTGATGCTGCAGTGATCAATCAGTAAAGCAGTCAATTCATTGCACCTTCCTAGATGTGATAAATCAACCTCCAGGTGCTTGCCCATCAACTCCAGTACTTCACTAGGACGAGAAAAAAAAGTCTAAGTCAATGGGAAAGCATCAACCATGGATCTTACTGCACAGAAGTCACCATGATAAGTAGGTCTAAATACGTCAATTTCAGTTACGCAACTTCAGCTATGTGAAGAGTTTATCTCAGATCAACAGAGGGCGTAGTGTCCACCAGGTCAAATTCTGGAATGTTCAAAAAAGGCAACTACCAACTAAGATATACTGATCAAGTCCCCACATCAAGATCAGTTTGAAAAAATCTGCACCTATTAAGACTTTGCAAGGCAAGACAAGACCAATTTAAAAAAAAAAAAAGCGAACACTGTACTGAAAAAGTTTTAAATAACTTTTTTACGTGGCATAGAAAGAAAAAAACCCGATACATCTTTCTTACTCAAGAATATTATGTACAAGATTCAAAGACCACCACCAAGATTTGGGAGCTTCTTATCACGACACTTCAAACCTCATCTTATTTTAAGACAAGAGAAAAGAGATTTAATCACCTATAGTGTTTTTCTAACATTGACGGAAAAATTCTCTCTCACTAGCCAAATTCAGGCATAACTGTCAACAGTGGTCTTTGCAAAATATGTAATGACGTATGGAAAATAAGGTCTGAAAAAGCCAGTCTGCTTTTTACCTTTTCACGTTGAAGCAGGGCAAATGAAAATTGAATAACGGAATATTCACTAATGAAATATTCCATGATTCAATTTTCATTTGCCCTGCTAAAGTATAAAATAAAAAGAGAACCACAAAATAAAAGTTACCATGTGGTAAAAATATTTACAAACTGCAGCAAGTTAATGCTAAATGCAAGTACTAATTAAAACTTCCAAATTAAATTAAAAATAGCTGTAATATTTCAAACAGAAGCGATTTTACCACAGCATATTGATTGTCTTTATAGCTTAATCAAAGGAGACTGATTATGTTTTAGAGCGTTTGTATTCTGGTATCCAATTATATACTCCATCAACCTAATCCAATTAAATAATGTAGTGCTGTATAGGAAACAATTGAAATATATGCAGACAATTTTAGTAGTACTCATTACATAATGATTTAAGAAATCTACCATAATGAGCTGTTCTCCCCACTCAAAAGGGAAAGGATAGTACCTAGCTTATGATTTATGTTCCATATGTTTAAAAAAATATCCGACACACCCAGAACCTTAAAGGGTTAGTTAACCTGAGTATGTGTAACTAAGAACTGAGATTTTCCAAAACCTGGACATTCATTCAAATATTTTTAAAATATTTGTTAACAGATTATTGTACAGAATTTAAAATTACATATCCTAGCAAATTCAGGATCTAACCTCTTTTCACTGTAAGCCATTAACAGCCACTCACAGGAAATAACATTTCTGAGAAATAGCGAATATAGTATATTAAAAGAACACACAAAGAAATTATGAAGAAGTTTCTTTCCACTGAGCTATTAGTTCACCATTTTGCCTTTTCAAAGCACAATGCAAGCACTAAGTATTAAAAGCCGTTCCAAAAATACCACAACAAAACACAGAAATATCGGTCAAGAAACCAAAATTTCCTGATATCAGAATTTATCCTTCTAATGCTGTGTCTACACTACAAAGGCTTGGTCTACATTAAAAAAAAAATAATTGGACTTACAAAAAAAAAAAATCCTCACACCATAAGCTTCATATTTCGACCTAACTGCCGATATAGATGTAGTTAGGCTGATAGAAGAATTCTTCCACTGACCTGACTACTGCAGGCCACATAGATAAACTGCACTGATGGAAAAAAACCCTTCCACACCTGTAATAAGCATCTAAATTACAGTGGTACAGCAACATAATCGTTGCCCTGCCGCTGCAGTAGCTGTAATGTAGACATACTCAGAGACTATACCAGCAAAGCTATACAAGCATAAGCCCATAGCATAGATGCAGCCTACTCCAATAGAAGGGGTTTTCCCTCAGTGTAGAAATAACATCCCCCTGACTGATGGAAGCATATCTAGATTGGTCCAGAATGTGTTTTTTCCAAACCCCAAACAGACAAACCTGTGTCAACTTAACTAAGGGTGCATCTAGACCAGTGGTCTCCAACCTTTTTACACCCAAGATCACTTTTTAAATGACAGACCAAGCCAAGATCTACCGCCCCGCCC